CCCTCTCACACTCCTCCCAAGGTCCTTGAACACATGGGCCAGGGAGTGGCTCAGTGGATAAAGTGCTCGAAAGTGTGGAGACAGGAGTTCAGATCCCCAGGATCCAAGTGAACAAGCTAGCGGGCCTGGTGGTTACCTGTAATCCCAGTGCTCAGGAGGCAGAGACAGAGGAATCCAGGATAACCTAGCTAGCCAGACTAGTCGAATCAGTGAACTCTGGGTTCAATTGAGAGAGCCTGCCTCAATGAATAAAGTGGAGAGTGATCAAGGAAGAAGCCTTATATCAACTTCTAACCTATATGCACATGCACACACATCCATATATACACAGCACACACACAGGTACACATACACATATACACACCACACACACATACACACACTCACACACATGTACACATATACATACTACACATACACACACACACGTCCACATATACACAGATGTACACCATACACACATTATGTACACCATACAGACACAGACACAAACATATATGTACACCATACACACAGACATATACAAACACACACATATGCACATACATATACTCACATACACACTTATACACATATGCCCACACATACACATATGCATACCACACACACAAAAGATACTGGTTAAGCCAGAGAGGACATCAGAATCCCCCTTTTTAAGCTTGAATTTGGAAAACGAAGTCTGACTCACCCACAGACCCACTTCCCAACCTCATTTTGGAGCTGAGGAGCAGAAGAGACCCTTGCTGGTCCTGTAGCTACGGAAGGGAGGTGAGGGGTGCCTGCTCAGACCCAGGCTCAGGACACTCCCTAGCCTAGGTCTTCAGTGCCTCACAGGGCTTGTGGTTCTGTCAACCTCCATTCCAACGAAGGCTTTTTGGTGACATCTTGTGAAAAGGACGGAAACTGCAGCTCACACTCCAAATGGAAAGCCTGGTGTCCCTGTCTCTGTCTGAGAGACAGCCAGGCACTGAGCCTTACCCAGAGATAGACTGGATGTGACAATGAAAGTCAACTCGGAAGAGAGGAGGCGGCAGGATAGGGAGGATACCCTTTCCCAAAGCCACGTCTCCGAGTTTAAGATTCAAAGCAATTGGTGACATATCTGTCCCACTAGAGACGGGACGCCTTTAGCTAATGCGACAGCCCTTCTAACCTATGTCAAACCTCGATCCCAAGCTGTCTCCACAAAAGCAAGGTCCATAGGCTCCACAGGTGTGGCGACTCCTGCCTGGAATCCCAGCACTCCAGCACTATGGAGGTTGAGGTGGTGGCGGCACATGCCTTTAATCCCAGCCCTCAGCAGACAGATCTCTGTGAGTTTGAGGTCAGCCTGGTCTACAGAGAGAGAGTTCTAGGACAACCAGAGCTACACAGAGAAATTCTATCTTGAAAAAACAAACTACAACAAACCAAACCAAAAAAGAATAACAACAACTAAAAACAAAGCAAAATGCCCATAAAGCAGCTTCCAGGGCTGGAGAGAGAGCTCCAAGGTTAAGAGCACTTGCTGCTCTTCCAGGGGCCTGGCTTCAGTTCTGGGTACCAACATGGTGGCTTATACAGACTGCCATGCTCTAGGAGATATGATACCCTCCTTCTGACCTTCAAATACAGCAGGCACACACAGGTGCACAGACATATATACCTGTGAAACACACACACACACTCATACAACACATATACACACATAAATACAGGCTGAATTTACACTCTGGAGGAGCAGGGATGTACCTGACACACTTGAACAATTTGATGAACCACTAGGCTATGCCCACTGATAGAGTGTCTGTACAGTCCTGTCAGCAGCAACAGGGATAGGGCTCCATTCTGTTATTTGTAGCAGCCTGAGGAAATTATTTAAATTTTATTTCCATTAAAAAAAAAATTGAGTGTGTGCTTTTTCAAAACAGGGCTCCTCCGTGTAGTCCTGGCTTTCCTGGAACTTGCTTTATAGACCAGGCTGGCCTTGAACTCACAGAGATTCACCTGCCTTGGTTTTCCAAGTGCTGAGATTAAAGGCATGCACCACCACCCACCTGGCCTGTATGTATGTATGTATGTATGTATGTATGTAGTATGTAGTATGTATGTGTATATATATTTAAAATTTTAAGTATATGAGTGTTTTGTCTGCATGTTGTGCACCTTGGCATGCAGTGCCTGCAGAGACCAGAAGAGGGCATCAGTTTATCCAGAACTGGAATTTCAGATGGTTGCTCTCCACCTTGTGGGTGCTGGGAATCAAACCTGGAACCTATAGAAGAGCAGCCAGTGCTCAGCAGGCACAGATCCATCTCTCCAGCCCCAAGTGTCTTTAAATCCTTTAGGGACCTTGATTCAGGTAAAACAAAGTCTTTGGCTTCAATGCAGAAGAGTGTCTCAGGATGAGCCAATGAGAAGCAGAGTTTATCAAAATAGAAAATGGGCTGGGGGCTGTAGCTCACTTGCCCAGCCTGGGTGGAGCCATGGGTTCCATCACCAGCACTTCACAAACTGAGTGTAGTAAGGAGCGTCTGTAATCCTAGTATCTGGAAAGTGGAGACGGCAGGATCAGGAGTTCAAGACCACCCTTGAGGCTGACCATGAGAACTTGGGACATTATTTAAAGAAAGGAACTGGGTGTGGTGCCTCACACCCTTAGTCTTGGCCTTTAGGAGGAGGCAGGCAGATCTCTGTGAGTTCAGAGGCCACCCCGTCTATATAGAGTTCTATGCCAGCTATGGATAGTTGGACACTGTCCCAAAACAACAATCATAAAAACAAAAAAGGAAGTCACCAAAGTAAATAAGAAACTGCACGAGAGTGTGGGCATGGGCTTTTTTTTTTTTTTTTTCGGTTTTTCGAGACAGAGTTTCTCTGTGTAGCCCTAGCTGTCCTGGAACTCACTCTGTAGACCAGGCTAGCCTCGAACTCTCGAACTCAGAAATCCGCCTGCCTCTGCCTCCCAAGTGCTGGGATTAAAGGCGTGCGCCACCACTGCCCGGTGGGGGTGGGCTTCTTAATTTTTAAAAGATTTGTATTTATTTTTATGTATGTGTTTGGTTTGCATGAATGTATGTTCACCATGTATGTGCTAGGTACCTACAGAGGTAAGAAGAGGGTATCGGGTCCACTGGGACTGGAGTTAAAGGCAGTTGTGAGCTACCACCGTGTGGGTACTGGGAATTGAACCTAGGTCCTCTTAACCTGAGCCAATTCTCCAGCCCACGGCTGTGGGCTTCTTAGAGAACAGTGGTTAAGTTTCTTTGTGGTGACCATATGTAGGATTTTAGCAGCTTTTGGGATTTTGTTAATTGGTTTTTAGGGGACACCCTTTCCTCTGTCCCTCCTTCTCTTTTCTATAATATCATAGGGTGGCTCTAGAGGTAGATGGGAATATAATCTTCTTCTGGTGTGTCTGAAGACAGCAACAGTGAACTCATAAAATAAATAAATCTTTTTTAAAAAATATTTATTTTATGTATATGAGTATGCGGTTGCTGTCTTCAGACACACCAGGAGAGGGTGCCAGATCCCATTACAGATGGTTGAGCCACCATGTGGTTGCTGGGAATTGAACTCAGGACCTCCGAAAGAGCAGTCAGTGCTCTTAACCACCGAGCCATCTCTCCAGCCTGGGGACATAATCTTTTAAAAAAGATTTTATTTATGTATATATGTGTGTAAGTATGTGCATACACCAATGGAGACCAGAATGGGCATCAGATTCCTTTGAACTAGAATAACGGATTGTTAGCTCCCAGACATGGGTGCCAGGACCTGAACTCTGGTCCTCTGTAGGAGCGACAAGCTGAGAAAAGAAGGGCCTTCAGCAGTTATTAACTGTTGAAACCCTTGCTTCTCAGCAGGTAAGTCTGCACCTAGACTCCTGTGTAACAGGCTCCTTTCCCTTTCCTTGGTCATAATTCCCTCCATCTTTCTAGCCTCAGTCCCACTTCCCATCTGGACCTCCCGTGGCAATGTTGGAGATCATTAAATGACACAGGGTGTCAATGGACCTGTCTATCCCAGCACTGTTCATACACCATGATGATGTACACTTCTGTACCTGGGGCAGGTATAGAAACAGGACTTTACAACCAACTCAGTGGCTGGGCAGGGACCAAACCACCAAGGCATGGCTTAACTGGAAGTCTCACCTATGATTTCTTTCTCTTTTTTTTGGTTTTTTTGAGACAGGGTTTCTCTGTGTAGCCCTGGCTGTCCTAGAACTCACTCTGTTGACCAGGCTGGCCTCAAACTCAGAAATCCGCCTGCCTCTGCCTCCCAAGTGCTGGGATTAAAGGCGTGTGCCACCACCGCCCAGCTATGATTTCTATTATAGAAAAAGGGAGCAAAGATGGAAGGGCTACCCCCACCCCACTTAGTGTTCCCCAAAAGCCTCCACCATAGCACCCTAGCGCCCGGGGACAGAGAATCTTACCAGATTACAGAGGGGAACTGCTAAATCCTTTCTTCAAAGAGCACACAGGGCTGGGGAGACGCTCAGAGGGCAAAGCAGTCACATAAGTGTGAGGATCAGAGTTCAAATCTCTAATCTCACAAAAAAGTCAGGGGCATGGATGCTTCCCAGTAATCCCAGGAGGCAGGAGGCAGAGATGGGGACTCCTGGGGCTGGTTGCTAGCTAGACCAGATGGATCGCAAGCCCTGGGTCCACTGAGTCTCTGCCTCAGTTTACAAAGGGAAAACAATCAAGGAAGACACTGAAGGTCATTCTCAGGCCTCCACATTTATGTGTGCCCCTACATGTGCAAACAAGCAAACACATCTGCACTACACACACACACACACACACACACACACTCTGCAGACTTACGCACAGACAAAACACACACACACACAAAATTAAACAAGCCAGGAGTGGTGGTGCACACCTCTAATTCCAGGAATAGGCAGAATAATCTGAGTTCAAGGCCAGCCTGGTCTACATGAGATCCAGTATAGTGAGTGTTAGAGAGACTGTCTAAGATAAAACTAAATTAAAAAAAAAAAAAACAGGTGAAATAAATTATTTTTATTAAGCATTATATATAAAATATTTCAACACACCATGTCTTACATTTGATATTGTCTTCAAAGTCTGGTGATTTTGCAATAGTAGGGATAGAATCTGAGCCTCAGACATGACAGGCAGGTCCTCCACTACTAAACTATGTCACAGATCCAAGGGGTTTTAGGCAAGCGCTTTCCTATTGAACTGTGGCCCCCGCTCCTCACCAGTGGGCTCTAGGTGAGGGTTAACCCACTAACTCTAGACTCTAACCTTTCCCAGTGTACTTCCAAATTCATACTTAAGAATCTGTGCATGTGAGTGCAAGGGCCCACAGAGTTCAGAGGCATCAGATGCCCCAGGAGCTGAGGTTACATAGAGTTGCGAGTTCTCTGATATGGGTGGTGCTGGGAACCCAGCTCTGGACCTCTGCAGGAGGAGTACAAGCTCTCGTCACTGAACCATCCCCCAGCCCACCCAATGTGCTTTCAGTTCCCAATTTAGAGCCATCTCAGTGGAAACATTACTGCATACAATGGTTAGCAGGGAGACTCTAAGTCCCTATTTAAATACTGCCTAATGACTGAACCCAGGTGCTTTAAAACTCAAGTTGAATTAAAAGCTTTGCTATGGCGGCTACATCTCAAGTGTCTACTAGCATGAGGGTGAGTGGCTGTCACCCTGGGAAGGGGCAGTACAAAAGATTCGTTTGTTTCAGTGTCCCCACATAGCACCACTGCCTAGACCTTGTTCTAAGAGCAAACCCGAGTCCCCCCAGATCCAGCCAGACACTGGGGACAGGGACAGTGCACCGATGAGTAGAGGGGGACTGAAGCAGGCTGGTAAACTGATGTGACAAAGGCACTGGCTTAGGACAGAGTCAGGCCTTTAGAGAACACAGCGAGTGGAACCCACCCTGGCCTGCCCAGGACAGCTAGAGGCCACAAAACCTGCATGATGCTGTTCCGTATGGAATTCGCACAGTTAAGTGTCCCAAAGGCCATCCGAACCAAGGGTGATGGTCAAACCCAGCTCGAGTGGTTGGTCCTATGTCATCCCTGATACCCAGGCTTGAGTGGTTGGTCCTATGTCATCCCTGATACACAAGCTCCTGGAAAGCAAGGGTAAACCCTTATATGGAGGTCACCAGAGTACTGCAGGCATCTTCCCCCACAGTCATGGCCAGATGGTGGTAGACGTGGTCAGGCCACACAGGTGGCACAGGAGTGACTCTGGCTGCACCCTGAGGCCCAGAGCCTCTGCTCTTCTTCTGTCTGGGTTTCTGCTTCACCAAGTGCCCAAGGACACCCTCAGCCCCTGCTGCGGTGCTCTGACAGGAGGAGACGCTTCTACTGTAAAACCACATGGTTCTGAGATAGCTCCCTTTCCTCTGTGCTCTTCTTGGGACTTAGAAGTGAGCCCACACTCGAGAGGCAGAGTCAGGGGATTACTATGGGCTTAAGACCAGCGTGGTCTACAGAGTGAGTTCCATGACAGCCAGGGCTCCATAGTCTCAAAAAACAAACAACCTGAACCCAGGCCCATGGAGCCACAGCATGGTGAAGCTGGCTGCTCAACCTTGGAGACTTCACTGCAGGCCAAGTGCACACCCTTCCTCCAGAGCGGCCTCAGCCAGAGGTCGGGAAAGGGAGCCACACCGACTCTTGATCTTGGGGACCATGAGCAGACTATGCCCCAAAGGCACCTCATTACAAAAGCCACAGAGGGGAGAATACAGAGCAGATGGTAGCTCTTTCCTGTTATAGGAGAGAATTTTCCAGAATGCCAAGTCCCGGAGTGGCTTAGCACAGGCCAAAGGCACCACTAAGGAGGTGTGCACACGTACTCAGCTCCTGGATCCGGCAGCTTTCTCCTACGGTAACCTAACCCACCTTAAGAAGTTGCTGAACAGCCTCATTTACTTTACCAAATAAGTTGTATATCGTGTGTGTGTGTGTGTGTGTGTGTACACATGTGGGTACACATATATGTGTGTGTGTTTGAGAAAGGCCAGAGGTGAACTTCTGATGTCCTTCTGCAGAAGTGTCCACCTTGGTTTCGGAGGCAGCATATTTCTGACCTGGAACTCTCCAATAGCGCCAGGCTGCTGGTCAGAGAGCCTGCTGGTCAGAGAGCCTGCTGGTCAGAGAGCTCTGGGAATGGTTTCTCCACCTCCCAAGTGTTGAGAGTTCAAGTGTGCACCGAGCACATCCAGTTCTGGGGATAAACTCGGGTTCGAGGCAAGTGCTCCACCCTCTGAGCCATCTCCTTGTCCTAACTTGGGCAGTCAATGGGAGACTCTTCCATAAAGACTCAGACTCAGGAGAAGCAGGAAAGTGCTGCAGGCCACGTCACCAGGATTAAAACCGAACAGAAAGGAGCTGGTGTGTGGCACCAACAGGAGCCTCGCCGTTACTGCACTGTCCGCCTGAAAGAAACAGAATCGATGGGTGACCACACATGTCAGAACTGCCTAGCAGGGGTCTGGCGTCAAAAAACGGCCTTGGAGGAAACTCAGGACATTCTAAAAATAGCTACTGTGACCAGTTCTGGCCCTTCTTATGGAAGCACACTGCATCACACAGAGAAACACAGCCCGAGTCCCCGTACCTGAGTCGCTGGGCCAGCCAACTGACTCCTGATGGCTTCTTCTGCTCAGCAGCTCTGGATGTGGAAGCCCTATAGAGAAAGTCAGATTTGTGTTTATTCGACCCTCTTACCCACGTCGAGAGGGCCTACCCACTCACATCTATGCACTTAGACAGCTAGGCTCCGGATCACACACAGTCTGAGAAAGTCAAGTGGAACTACGCAGTAACTTCGCTGGCCTCTGGCCTCCACATGCGCGCCACAGCACATGTGTATACTCTTGCCCCCAATGAAAGATTCAAACATAAAGGGTAACTTAAGGGGCTGGACAGCTCAGTAGACAGCCGCACAAGCCCAGGACTCGTTTCAATTCCCAGCACTACATAAAAGCCAGGTGCTAGTGTGTGTCTGCAGGGCTCCTGCAGGGAACTCTCAGGTCTGGCACACACTGCAGTAAATGAGAGACCTGGGTCAGACATAGTGACCCAGTTGGAGGACCAATATCCATGTGCACTCATGTGTGCACAACATTCATGCATGGACACACAGAACAAAAAAGGAAGTTATGTGTCATTTTAACTCAGGAGTGCAGATTCTTACTACTTAAAAAGGTAGCAATAACGGCTGACCTGTATTACCTCCACCAAAAGACCAAAGCTCCAACCCAATCTCCCTAGCACTCGGGAAGGACCTCATTTAGAGACAAGTCTCCACTGAGGTGATCAAACTGAGCATCTGCTGTCCGGGCACCAGTCAAGGCAGCCAGCCACTCAGCCAACAGAGGGCGGGAGGCAGGATGCAGACGTGCTTGGAAATACCACACAAGACAAAGGCAAGGGTGGATGCAATGGGGCTACAAAGCCAGGCTCACCAGGGAGTGCTGGGCAAACCAGAAAACAGGAGAAACTGGGAGAGGTAGAGAGGACCTCATAGGAGCGAGCTGCCAACTCTCGCTCTAGACCGTGAAAGAATAAATGGCCCAGTTGAAACCCTCAGTATGTGGCAGCTACAGGCCTAACTTCACAGGACTCCAGCTCTGACTGTGGTCTAAGTTCCCTTCTGTGCAGCATGCTGCACACCAGACTGGCTGCACAACAGATTGGTGGCACCGGGAGCCCTGCTCACCTCCCTCTGCTGGCTGAGCTGCTCCCAGCTTGGCAGTTGTGGTCCAGAGGATGCCTGTGCTGAATGCAGAAGTTGCCATGGCACTGAGCACAAGCCAGCTGCAGCATCTCTTTCTTCCTGCACCCCTCTTTGGAGCAGCGGTGTGTGAAAACCTGCAAGAACAAAGTCTCTTCTGTCATCAGCACGTCACCAGCCCAGACGGGCCCTGGTGGCTGGCCCAGCAGCGCCAGGCTGTGCAGCGCCAGGCTGTGCAGCGCCAGGCTGTGATGCGAACGACTCACAGAGGCTGAGGTAGAAGAGAACTGGCTCCACATGTGAGCTCTGTTGAGCCACCCCGCCCCTCAACCTCACCATTAACACACATGAATAATGGAATGAAAGATTCTTCTGTTTACTTTGTTTTTGTTTTGGCTTTTTCGAGACAGGGTTTCTCTGTGTAAGCCTGGCTGTCCTGGAACTCACTCTGTAGACCAGGCTGGCCTCGAACTCAGAAATCTGCCTGCCTCTGCCTCCCAAGTGCTGGGATTAAAGGCGTGCACCACCACTGCCCGGCCAAAAGATTTTTCAAGTAGAAAGAAAGATTATGCTTACGGCTTAGCTTTACATTAATTCCCTGATATTATCCAATAAAAACAAAAGCAACAACAACAAAAACCCTGAAGCTGGGGAGGTGGCTCAGGGGGTTATGTGCACATGGGGGGGCAGAGAGATCAAAGGTCAAATCCCCAGCACCCATACAAAAAGCTGGGCACGGTTATACGCATGCCTGTAACCCCAGCCCTCGAGGGGCAGAGACAAGAGGGTCATTGTAGCTAGCAGGCTGTCAGCCTGAGTTCAATAAGAAACTGTCAGAAGGAAATATGCTGGGGACGGTGGGGAAAGATAGAACAGGTCAGCAGACATCTCCCCGGGCCCCCACACATGCATGCATGGACACGCAAGCACACACATATGCAGGTGCACAAACACCAACATAAACATTTTATCTATTTTTTTTCTTTTCTTTTTTGTTTCTTTAAAGACAGGCCCTCACTATGCAGCCTTGGCTGGCCTTGAACTCAGTGATCCTCCTGCCTCCACCTCCCAACTGCTAGATATACAGGTGTGCAACACATGTGACTTTTAAAAGGGTTTCTAAAGGTGAGATAAAAAGCTAACAAGCCCTGGGCACTCAGAAAGAGGATGCAAAGGTTCGGATTAGGGAACTTGTGCCAGCTGAGAGGTAGAAACTGCCTATGGAGACAGCAAAGCTGGGACACCTAGGGGAGGCAACAGGAGATTTCCTGGAGGATGAGGCAGAAAGAAAACAGGGCAGAGAGGGAGGCAAAGTCAGAGTCACAGCAGCCCCGTGAGGACAAATGTATTGGAAGCTGTGGAGACAGCAGAGGTTAGATCCATGAGTTCAAGAACGTTGGTGTATCTATGGCGTCACACACACCAGCAATGCCCTGGACGGGAGGGGCAGATGGTGATATAAATTCCCAGAGCCCCTGACTCCTATGAACTGTAAGGGGTGGTTTAGGCAGCAGCCAGCAGCCAGCCTCTGACAGACCTACCCCGAGGCACAAGACGCCTGCAGCAGGAGCCTGTGTGTGAGCAGTCTGCCCCAGGAGGAAAGGAAGGTACAGCTGTTTGGATGCAGGGGTTGGGGGAGGCATATGTCTGGAAATTCTGGGCTGAGCCAACAGAAAATGGGATACTATTGTCCACAGGAGCCTGGAGGTGCACCGTGGAGCAGACTTCACGCTCTCCTGTCTGAGGCTGAGGTGCTCAGTGGGCTGTGTGTATACTTACGTCAAAGTATTTGAAAAGTGCACCATGATAGTTACTCGGAGCTGAGAGCTGTTAAGCAGAAGGATCTGAATCTAATCCCCAGCACCCATGAAAAAAGCTCGGTGTGGTAGTGTATATTTGTAACTCAGGGCTGGGGTGCAGGAAGGGGACAGGAGGATCCTTGGGGACTGATGACAACTGAGGAGGACACTAGGCTATTTCTAAAGAAACTGTGTGTGACAGGGTGGGGCACACAGGTGTGAGTCACGAGTGTGTGAAGGTCAGGACCCTAGCAGAATAATTTATTTTTCCACCTTTACATGGCTAAAAGATGAGAAAATTGACCTTTCCCGGAAAAGCAGCAGCGGCAGCACCATGTGTGTACGGGCCTGTGCTAGCCCTAAGCCAACTCTCACCTTGTTTCTGTTCCTCCCGGGGTGAAAGGTGCAATCTCTGTCCATGTGCTCGCTGACCACCACATCTGGGATCTCACCTCTCTTCACAGGGACGGGGACATTACAGAGTGGACACACAGGCACCTGCACATCCTGAAATAACAAACAGACAGTGATGCCAAGACGCACACTCTCACACCTCCCTCCCTCTTTCTCTCTCTCTTTCCCCTCCCACAAGGTTGCCTAGTGTGGTTTAAACACAAAAAGGGTCACCACCAGCTTTGGAGGCCCCTCGAGTGAGAAAGGAAACTGGTGACATCTGGGTGGGGGCATATTATGGCTTCGGGAGGGGAACCACCTGACCCCTCAGAGCCAAGGTGATAGGAAGGGTCCCAGGAGTCACTCTGATCCTCATGTGGCTTTACAAGGAGGGAGACGCCCTCGGCGGTGGAGAGGCTGTGCCCACTGTGCCCACTGTGCCCACTGTGGTGCCAGCCAGACACTGAGGGCTCTGGAGGGAATGAGGAGCTCTAAGAATGACCAAGCAGCACAGTCAAAACTCTGAGCCAAGACTGTTGAGGGAGGGGTCTGTGCCAGAGTGCCTGGGGTGGCTGCCATCAGAGGGAAACAGGGTCACAGGCTTTTGTGGCCTGCTGTCTGAGGGCGGCTACCCCAGTGGCCTAATGTGATCACCAAGAAACAAAGCACTCCTGTGTGACTCTGGATAGATGCTACCCAGATGCGCACAAGGAAAGGTCCACAAACAGGTGGCCACTTGTCATCAGAGCCTGGTAAACAGGACTCTGAGTCACCTACCCCACCCATCCAAATGGCTTGGCTGGACCTTGGCCAGCCCTGGGTAAGGCATGTGACACTAAGTCACCCACTGTCCATATGGCACCAGGGGAAGTGGGCAGACTTCACTGACATGATCTGTGAGTCACTACTGGGATAGAGTGAAGCCCTGGACTTGAGGGACCTTCTAGTGTCTGCTGGATGGTGTGGAATCTCCTAGAAACACTTGCTACGGAGACTGAAGAAACAAGACACTTGGACGCTTGCTCTTCCCTGGTGCCAGGAAACACGCAAGCTCAGTGTGTGAAGGGGAAGGACCAGCTGTGACTGCTCAAGTGTGGGACACACCCTAAGGTTGCAATCTGAGGGATGGGAGACGGTCCAGTTGGTAAAGATATCCCCACTTAAGCATCAGAACCCGAGTTCCACTCCCCATCACACACCTGAAAGCCAGGTTTGGTGGAGTATGCTGGTTACCCCAACTCTGGGGAGGGAGTTCACTGAGACGCTGGCTCTAGCAGCTGTGCTGTAACCCACTCCCAACCCATTTTAGACAGAAGCATGTATGTCTCAGGGTGTCCTCTAAGACTTCTGGATGGGCAGGAGTCAAGCCTCCCAACGGTGACCAAGAGAAGAAGAGCAACGCCGACCATGAGTAAAAGCACCATGTCCTAGAGAACAGCTAGAAGGGAAACTACTTCTAACACAGGGACCACTGCTTATCCTGATGTAGAGATGTACCTGCACTGGCATCGGGAAGCCAGAAGACTACAGCAGGGGGATGCTCAGCCAGACAGGAAGCTGAACTGGGCACTCCAGCAGACTCTGTGAACCTCCCTAGTTTCTGCAGGATGTTCCGAGTGCCCAATTTGATGATGCTTTAATACCCACCTACCCATCCATCCAGCTCTCTCTAGCTACTTCTTCTGTGGCTTGCCCTATATACTTAATAAACTCAAAACTCAAAGCAAGGCGGTCACAGATCATTCCCTGGCCTGCGCAGAACAACTGGACAGAACAGCTGTAGCCCGTGCAGTCCAGACCCCAGGATGATGCGTTACCTTCTTGAAGGCAAAGGGACATTTATGACCCGTGTAGGAAAAATGGTCTTTACAGAAATCTTGTTTACAGGCGTCGCATGTTATAGGCAGAAAATCTAAAAAACAAAAATCAGGATAAAACGGTAAATCCTCTGAAGAACTGGAACCAGAAAATTCCATACCATTCAAAGCAGGAGTTTCTGCACCTCAGGCTCCTCACTCCTGAGAGACAGACACAGGCTGGAAGTACATGTGAGAAAAAAACTCTGGGGTGTGAAATTAAAAAAACAAAACAAAACAAAACCCAACACTGAGATAGGGTCTTATTTAGTGCAGGCTGGCCCGGAACTCCTATGTAGCCTAGGAGGACCTTGCCTGCACCTCTCCAGTGCTGGGGGAGGAAGCCAGAGCTTCAGATGTGCTGGATGAGTGTTGTAGCACCAGCAGCAACCCCAGCCCAAAGTCAAAAAAGCAGTAAGGCCAAGAGACAATGAAGGACCCACAAAGCTGTCTTTTTAACACAGATGCCATCTCTTGTGGTATCCTAACCATACAGGCCGTCTGTCTTTGTTATCTGCAAAGCCCTGGCAGCTATTGCCTGGCCTTAGGTTGTCACTTGCAATTTTGAGCAGACTCTGGTCCTGCACCAGAGTTTTCATTCTGAGAAGCTAAACCAGGACAGAGGCCAACTAGCTAATGAGTACAACAGCCAGATGCCCTCCACAAAACAGCCAATGAGATACTGTTTCCCAGCAGGAGCCCTTGAAGGTTCTTACCTAGTTGTTTGCAAGTCGGTTCTGAACAGTGCTTCCCCAAGTCAGGAAACTCCATTACGAATAGTGTCCAAAACACACAGGTATTTACGTGTCACCTGTGGGAATTAGAAGTAAAGAGAATGAGGTCCTGAGTTGGTCACCAGGACCTGTAACCTGCAGCCAAGGAGCACAGAGAGGCTATCTGTGGGGAGGATGGGGACCCAAATCATCCTGGGGCCATGGGAAAGACTGATGCCTCATAAATTCTCAGCAAAGAGGAAAGTGGTGGTTTCATCATAAATACCAAGTCTCAGTTCAATAACAGAAGGCTTTGCCTGGCATGTGGGAGGGGGAAGTTCTGGGTTCAATCCCCAGTTCTGGCAAAAACGAAACAAATGTGGAGAGAGAGAGAGAGAGAGAGAGAGAGAGAGAGAGAGAGAGAGAGAG